TCACACCACCGAAATAAGCAAGTTCCAAGACATTTTGAAGGAGATGTGCTCTGTTCCTAGAAATCAGCACCCTGCTTGCTGCCACAGCTCTTGGAACATCATCATCTGTGTGGCTAAGATGTTCCATCAGTTCCACTCAACAGCCACAGCTCAAAGACAAACACCTTTATTTCCTTCCAAGGGCCCTGCAAACAGTGTGAACCGCCACCTGTAACACAAAGAGCCGGCATCTGATTTCCACTTCTTCGGGATCTGAAGGACAAAAGTTTCTGTTGGAGCAGGAGGCACAGCACATCCCCATGCTCTCAACACCTTGAGCCATACAGAGGGCAACAGAAGATGATTTCACTTAAGGATTTGGGAAGAATCATACCTGACTTCCAGCACAGCCTCCCCCTTCACAGCCAATTGATGTGACATGCATGCACCACTATAACCGCAGGGAGGCTGCTTTGTGAAAACAAGTCTTCATTCAGCATTAAGAGTACCATCATACTGTTTTATGGGGCAACAATCCAGTTCTTTAGTGAATAAGACCTGAATATGACTCAATCACATTGCTTATCTACACTTCTGCACAAGAACTCCTAAGCAAAGCAACCTTACTGGGCCGGTACCAGTCAAGCAGGCCAAAGTCCTCTTGAAAATTTCATATACATCACAAATTCAAGTTAGAAAAAAACATGCTGTCATTTAAGTGGCTGGTAACAACCAGGTAATCAGCTGGCACAAGACCACCAGAGTATAGAAAGGGAAATTTTTGGCAAAGAGCAACAGGGAAATCCCCACTCACGAGGAAATTGTTGTGGGATCTAGTACTTATGGGAAGCACTTGACCAAGGAGCCACAAACCGGGAGTTTAAGTCCTCTGCTCCAGAGGGGACGCAGGGCTGAGCCAACCTCATCAGGGTTGGAGAGTGGAGTTCCACCAACTCTGCAGGCTGCAAAGCTAACATCCCCGTGCCTGCTCTGCCCCCAGGTCCTGCTAGGATTTAAATTTAGATTTTCAAACTATCATTTTAAACAACTACATTAGGAAACACTCTGAAATATGCTCCGTTCATTTTCATTGACCTCCTCCAGAGCTCATAGCAATCCCGTCAACTGCAGAGCAACCTGATGACCAGAAACAGCAGGCTGACCAGAGCTGGTACTCCAGCTCCTGAAGAGGACCACTCGTGTGATTTAACAGTGATGGCAATGCCCATTTACACCTGCACGCACAGGCTGAAATACATCCATTCTTTAACTCATCACACAGGCCCCCCCTTCACTTCTAAGTAGTACCAGCGGACTAAAAATGCATTTGTTTTTCAGAAGATGCACGAACTGAGCCCTGTTACCTTCAGCCACACGTCTCAAGACCAGCATTTTAATTTAAGTCTGTACCAAATTTAGTACGGCTCTCACAGCTCTTTCCAATGTTCTTATTTGTGTGAAAACACCACTTTTCTAATCATCACTTCACTGAGATATAAATGGAGACAATCTATTTTCATTCGCCTTTAAATGAAATCCCTCCTTTTACTTGAGACTCAATTACAGGACAGAAGTTCTCAGAAAGCTTGAGACGCAGTTGTCAAGAGGATGCTACCTCCACAGCCAGGTTTCAAGTCCCATCTCCTGCCTGCAGCAACCGCTTTGTCCCAGAGTCTGACAGTGTTTTAGTCCTACTGTCATCAGTGCCCTGAATAATCTGCCCTGCAGCACATACACCCATGGAACAAGGAACAAGGACACTTGCTTAACACTCCTGTAGCCTACAGGATCAAGCTCTCTGATCCAGCATGGGTCCATTGGTGATCAGAGCCTTCCTGGCTCACCCATTCAAAGCTCTCAGACCCAACTGTTACGTGGGCTACAGAGGTCTTTCCAACAGCCCAGGAGCTTTGCTCAACGCATTTTTCCCCTGAAGTTTTGCTATATTTGGAGCTGCTTCTTAAACCTTTTGCTTCTCCTTACTTCACAGTCTTAGGTTTTAATTTTGATAAAGATCCAAGTCCACAACCAACATTCATAGGTGTTGGGTTTTCAGGGTGGAGGAGAAGGAGTGAGGCAGTGTGATTTGGGTTTTGGGGGCTTTGTTTGTTTCAAATTATGAGGAAGATGAGAACATCTGAGGTTTTGAACCATTTCTTAAATGCTTGAGATTAAGAAAAGGAGTGAAAAAGCCCAGTATTGAACACCAGCAAGAACATGAGCTAGCAGCTTTCGATGGAAACAAGACTCATTTAGTCAATAGTCAGTTGCACCTTGAACTACATTGGTTACACATGTAGTTACCTATCTATAGTTTTTGTGTGTGTATAAGTATGTATTTTCATACATAAATAAAGATAATTTTAAAATAATGCAATATTCATAGGAACTATTATTTTAAGCCCATGTAAAACAACACTCCCCTCCCCAAATAAATGACACATTCATCTAGTTCAAATCTGAAAGTCTCAGCTTTAACGGAGTTTAAGCGTCACGCCAATGCTATTTTCTTTAGAAAAAAAGTCCCGACTGCAGCTTGAAGCTACATATTTTCCTAGTAATATTTCCATTCCAGGCACAACCACCAATATGCTGACATTTATTTGCTACATGTCATTATTTAAAGTTTTACAGCTGCATTCCTTTTGCTTTATTAATGGTTTGTCACTACAGCCATGTCTACACTTGCCTCACTTAAGGGGGGGGGCGGGGAGAGAAAGAAATAAAAAGGGCAAAAAGGGCTTCCTTTATTTGTCAGGTCTGGTACGACCTCGCCAGAGGTAATGCCAGCAACAATACTGTCTACAAAGCATGGCTGGCCACGGCCACTTTTTTTTAGCAGTATTTCACATAGATGTACTCCCTACAGAGTGAGATGAGACGGGGTTAACACATCTACTGTGAGACTGGCAGACTTCACACCAAAGCCAAAACCTTTGGAAAAGGCTCCACACACTTTTTTAGATCATCTGCTCACCCATCCTACTTAAAAGATATCTATTCACCACGCGTTCACACCCCTCCTAAAACCTGTCATTCTCCCCTACCTCAGGGGATGCTCATATAAGCAAACTTGATTAATACAAAGAAGGTCAGGTCTGTACACAAGCACTTTCTTTTTCCTGTAAATTCAAGAACACCGCTGGAAGAAAGCGCCAGACAAGGACTCAAAGAGCCAGGTCATTTCAGAATATGAGAACTCTTCCTTAGCTAAAATACGAACTGCCAAATACTAACCCGCAGCTTTTTTTTCCAGGTACTAACTCAAATTTGGGGTTTTGTCTAGAAAGCTGACTATATTTAAATTTAAAAGAGATATTTCCTGTGCGTCTACATTCCCTAAGTTTGGCTGGGACGGACCACCGCAACGCCAACACAGAGCGAGAGCCTGCATCTCCCTGTCTAGCTACCTCCAGGAATACGGAAATCACAGCTTCCCATCTTGCTGTAGAGCAAGGAAGAAGAAATAACCCTCCAAGTTTGATGTTTCTCTCCTCAAACCAAACTTCCAAACCTTTTGATGTTTGCAAGTTCCTATTACAAATCTCATTTTCAATTCAGTACTGCAGTCTTCTACTGATCACTAAGATGACTCTGTCTCCTTAAATTAATTCAATATGCGAATTAGTAATACATAAATTAGTTCCACATGGCACTAGAGAGAAAATTAAAACACACAGAAGAACAAAGTGTATCTAAAACCCAATGTCCATGTATGGCGAATTAATATGACCCAACAGGTTACGTCAGATTTCGCCTGAAATTCCAAAAGCAGTCTGAACCACATCAAGATACTCAAGTCCTACTTTTCCTAGAAGGTTTTACCCATGCTATTAACAGGGCTGTAAGCCAAGAACATTTTTCTTTTTCTGATTTCCACACCCCCCCCTCCCCCCACCTTGTCTTTCACAAAGCAGAACCTTTTCCAGCTATGGCAGATAAATTCAGAGAACCTGGCAAAAGCAAGAGGAGTTCTGAATATTCAGTCCTGTGATCGTTCTCTGCAAAGGCTAAATTTTCATTTCCCTGCAGCAGACCATTAAAAGCTACTGAACAAAACGCTCTGCTTTTTTATCAGAATCATCTGGAATCACACAAGTTGTACTACAAAGATGACAGACAGCTTTCCAATACCTAGTAGAGTCACACATCCTGGCTTATTTAATATACAACAAAAATCCAGTACTAAACACACATTTGCACCTGTGCAGTGCTTACTCACAGCTATTCCATCTGATTAGAAAAAAAACACACTGCATAAAGAACACGAAGCTACACCACCTCCAATCCTAGCATTACTAGAGGAAAAATTTGAAACACACACATTATAAAACTTTTTAAAAGGAAGAATTTTCTCTTTCCAGCCTAAAAATTAAAAAACACCTTACAATTTCAACCTAATGAAGTTCATACGCAGACATGCACGCACACACAAGCCCCAACTGCACACACAGCAACAATTAAGAAACAAACAAACAAAAACTCCTCAAATTTTCTACAACATTTGTCCATGGGCATGACAAGCAATTTGTCCACAGCCCAGCCTCCTCCTGAACCAGCTGTGATCACAGCCCCTCCTGGCCACCAGCCACACCATTGAATGAGACCATCCAATTCTCAAACTGGTTTCTGTGAGATTCAGCTGGTTCTCAACCAGGAAAACTGGTGCTCAACCTTCTCTTCCTAAAATTAGGATAAATGTCTAATTGTCATGATCAGTAACCATAAGCT